TCTTTTTTTTTAGTTTAGTTTAGTTTTCATTTGTTGGCGTGTAAGTGATCAAGGCTAGCTGTAATCTGACCTATGGCTAAAACTACTCTGGTTTAGGGTGTGACCAATTCTGCCCCAGTTTTCTCCAAATACAAGTTGAAAATGAAATCCTCTCAAAACTAATATGCCACAAAGTAACATCTGGAGATCCAGATTCCTTTCTTCTCTCCTAACAAATCCAGCTTGTCTCCATTTTTCTATCTTTTTAGCCCAAACCTGTATCAGACCCCCAGAGCAGGAGGAAGCTTGTTAGTCAAGTCAGAACTCATAGATGTGGATATCCATTCCCCTCTGAGTGTCAAAGCCATAACTCTTCTGTTTGCCTGGTTTGCATTGTGTGGTGATGCCATCCCCCATGGAGATGGATCCCTCACATAGGAATACGCCTGGATGGAGAAAAATTAAATGAGTCTGTCTCCCAAAGTAAAATGGAATTCTGACCTTGGAATTAATGAGATTCTGATCAGAAGGGTGGGGAACTTCTTTATTTCAAATTGTGCTGTTATATAAATTGGAGCCCTTTCCCCTCTATTTGTTTAAAATATTCTTCCTCTAGAAAGTACTTTGTGTTCTCTTTTTCTCTTACACAAATATTCAACCTGTGGGCATCTGTGAGTGCAGGGGGTTCGTACACCCATATTATTATCTAGAGTTGTATTTGTGACTAATCTTTAACAAGAACAAAGGTGCAAAGTGAAGAGGAGACTTGCCCTGTGATAACCCTGGATCTGTGCTCATTTCTCCTTTCCTTGGGCAGTGTAGCAGCCGTCACAGGGTTGTACTGCATAGCATCTGTGCTTTTGATTTTGAGTTTTTGGAAGGCAGGAGAAACATTTTTCTCTCGGGGAGGGTTGAAGAGGTACCGTGACAAAGTCTGCAGCAGCTTTCTTGGCTCCTGTCATATGCCGATGTGTGTCAGAATATTTATGGTCTGTTTTATGTAAATACATATTTAAGGGCCGTTAGAAGGCCTGATTATTCCCACTAGATGCCTTTCAGGTCCTCCCTACAGAACCGTTTTGAAATAAGTAATATTTCTCAGATAATCTAGTGACAGTATACAAGACTGCTTCCAAAGGGAGAGAGCTTGAGGGGCAGATGGGGCAGGGAGGGGGATGGGGAGGCGAGAACAGAGAGGATAGAAAGTGTTCAAAAGGGCAAAGTAATAGGTTACAGTGGCTTTTGCCCAGATTGCCAATATACTATAAACCATGTATATTTTAGTTTTCTATTCTTAAAATTAAGAGTTAATTTCTGATATGGTTTAATCATTTTTCAGTTCTCTTCATATGAATATTTTTTTTTCATTAAATGTAAAAAAATGTTTTAATTAAATACAACAGTAAAACTCCTAAATAAGCTTTTAGCTTTAGGTGTTTTTTTGGCGGGGGAGGCATGGGGGGGTGTCCCTTATATAGAGTAGAAGTTTTATGACTGAGTTTTAGGTCAATGAAAAATCATTTTTACAATGGAAACACTGACGGTTTTTACTATCTCCGCCACCCCCTGCTCACAGACTGCATCCATATGCAGATATGTCCACATGTGAGAGCATTCGAAAGAGGGGCCTGCAGACATGGTGTTCTTTCCTTCAATTTTGGATAGTCAGGGTTTCTTTTGTGATTAAATATGCATTTTTTTTGTAGAAATAAATGTAGCTTTTTGGGTAAAGTGTTGTCTCTCCTAGTAGATGATTCCGGTTTGCTTGCTTGTTCATCTACCTGGCATCACAGGTGATTCCCAAGGTAGGTGTTGGGCTCTATGGAAAAAAAAAGAGGCCTTTACTCTACAGGACTGACTTATTTGCCCTGGAAAAAGGGAGAAGTATTTTGTGAGAAGCCGTTCGTGGAGGATGCATAATTCCCCAGGAAGGGGACTGAGGTAACTCCTGTTTATTGTCACTCCCAGAACCAGTCTCCCAAGGCTCCTTGTCCAGGGAAATGATGCTAAAATTTATGGACCAATTACAACAGTCCACGTGTGTCTTACATATGAAGCGTCTACAGATATGTTTCCCAAGGCTTTTAAAATAAACATTTTCTCATTAAGGAAAGTTTACAACAAAAGGGAAGATGAGTATTGTCTGCTGCCTTGTGCTAGAATTCTATACATTTATTAACACCTTAGCACTCTGGCTCTTATGTGCATTTCCTGATTATTCTCTGTGGGCCACCCCTACGCCCAGATTCCTGCCTGGGTGGCACAGTGTTTGGCCCCAATTGAAATTGGCTAGTGTGCATGTTCACCCAAGGGCTGAGAGGGACCAGAACTGCCTGTGTGGAGAGATGACTGGCCCTGCCTTCCTGCTCACCTCAGGGATGGGCACTGGGCACTGACCATAAGTGGCCCTCTTTCTTCTTGTCCCTTCCCTGTGGTCAGGCAGATTCACAGGTAGGCAGGGAACTGGTGGTTCGCAGCATCTCCTGGATGTTCTGCTTTCGTCCTCAGGTCGCAAAGGCCTTGAGTTGATGGTATTTTATACTTTGAAAGGTGTCTTTATAAAGGCATACATGTTGAAAACCCTATGTCCTAAGAATCAAATCGACTGAGTATCCGTAGGCCCAGGGCAGCCCTGAATGAGAAAGGCCAATCACATCATGGGGATGCTGTTAGGGGGGATACTTCCCAAGGGCTCTGGGAGCTCTCTCCCAAGGGGTGGGGAGAGACCCTTATCGGAGCTTTTAGGAGAATTGCTCTTGCTGGAGAGAATGTTTGGGGCAGTTTTCAGGTTGCCGGGCTGAACTAGACTGTAGCTGGAGCGGATGACCACCGTGAAAGAGTCAGCGAATCACCAGACCGACATGGGTCAGATGGTTTCCTCTGTACTGACTGCCCAGACATATAGCCTGATTGTCGCTCAGCTGCCCCCAAGGTTCTCCCGGAGTCCCTTTAAGAACTCCTGTGATGTGTGTGGTTGTTTCTGGTTGTTCCCTCCCAACACAGTCATGGAGACTCCTTTTCATGCTGCTGGGTTTAATTGTCTTGTTGGGATAAAGAAATGTTTGCACAGCTAAAGTGGGGCCGGGCTGGACGGGAGCAGTCCCTGATGGCTGCAGAGCCATCTGGCCTGGCTTGGCTTGGCTCGGCGCGCCGCTCGCCCGCCCGCCCCGCTCCCGCTCTAGCTCCCTTCCCCGTCCTCGCTCCACGCCGCGCGGCTCTGGTCGGCGGCTGCCTCCTCGCACGGCCGGAATGCCTAATCACCATGGTGAGAAAACGGACACCGCAGCCGTCCTCCCTCCTCGCCTCGCGCCCTCCCTCCCATCAATTGTCATGCAGAAGTGATCCGGGCTGCTGTTTCCTCGCGGCCGCCAGCCAGCCCC